GATTTAGAGAGTGCATGAATCGGGGAGAAAGGAAAAGGGGTAGAGAGAGAATTCTAATCAGGCTCCTCACTCAGCATGGAGCCTGCTATGGGGCTCGATCCCACGACTCCGGGATCATGGCCTGAGCTTAAATCAACAGTCAGACACTCAACCAACTGAGCCACCCAGGCACCCCAAAAATTTTAAAACAGATTTTAACTTGGGTTTCCAGAAAAAGATAGGCTGAGAATATACATTTGTTTCTACTTCCTGTTTAAAGTCTCATTGAAATGAGAGAAAATGTATATAAAATTGACCCTTGAACAGCATAATTGAAGTACAAGGGTCCACTTATATGTGGATTTTTTTTGGTAAATCTATTCAGTACTGTAAATATATTTTCTCTTCCTTCCTTTCCTCAACAGCATTTTCTTTTCTCTAGCTTATTTTGTTGTTGTAAGAATACAGTATTCAATACATATAACATACAAAAATACATATTAATTGACTGTTTTAAGTTATTTGTAAGATTCTGTTCAACAGTAGGCTATTAGTAGTCATGTTCGGGGGGAGTCAAAAGTTATATACGGATTTTTTACTGAATAAGTTTCAGTGCCCCTAACCCCTGAATTGTACAGGGGTCAACTCTGTATTAAGATTTTTTTCTTTAATGTTTATTTATTTTTGAGAGAGAGACAGACAGACAGAGCATGAGTGGGGAAGGGCACAGAGAGAGGGAGACACAGAATCAGAAGCAGGCTCCAGGCTCAGAGCTGTCCACATAGGGCCTGACATGGGGCTCGAACTCATGAAGCATGAGATCATGACCTGAGCCAAAATCAGACGTTTAACAACTGAGCCACTTAAGGCACCCCTGTATTTTTATGGAATCAAACTTCATCCTACTGGAAAATATCAAGGAATGAGATTTGTACACTAAAATTTTTGAGAAATTCCTAGAATGCTGAAAGCAGATACAACTGCAAACACGCATGGACACAGACTCACATACACTCACAGACACACACATATACAGAGGTACACAGAGATACAGACACGTTCACAGATATACAGAGAGACACAATCATGGACACAGCAACAGCAGCAAAAACCATACACAAGCTTGGGATCAAAAAGCTTGAAGGGATTTAGAGGAGTCATTAAGGCAATTAAATCACATTGATTAATCTCAGTTAATTATTTTAGCACCTTAGATGCCCTTTCCCCAAATACAGAGCAGCAGAGAGTAGGGATATCTGCTCCTAGGAAAAAGCTTTTCCAGGGGAGCCTGGGTGGCTTAGTCGGTTAAGTGTCCGACTTTCGCTTAGGTCATGATCTCGCGGTTTGTGGGTTCGAGCCCCGCGTCGGGCTCTGTGCTGACTGCCAGCCCAGAGCCTGGAGCCTGTTTCAGTCTGTGACTCCCTCTCTCTCTGACCATCCCCTGCTCACACACACTCTCTCTCTCTCTCCTAGAAATAAATAAAACATAAAAAAAAAAAAAAAAGCTTTTCTAGTTCGTCCCTAGAGACAGCGTGTGGGTTTGCTCAAGAGCAGCTCAGGGAGGAGCACTGGAGCCAGATCCTGTGCGCCTCCTCACAAACACAAAGACAGAAGCACAGCGTTAGAACACGGGGAGACACCTACACTCAGAAATGGAGGAGCAGCAACAAAAACAAAAGCGGTCCTCCTTACAACAAGGCTGTTCGTGTGCAACTGTGGCGAAGTCGGGCTAACAGCCTGCTGTTCCCACGTCTCCACTGTACAAAGCAGGCTGCTGAGCTGACCTAACCTCTGCCCCTTGGTTGCAGAGGGTAGTGCGCGTTTCATGGAAGAGAAGTGAGTCTTGGGCTGTCGGACCTCACAACGGCCCGGGGAGCCTACACCAGCTGCGTGTACCAATCAGTCTAAACAGCAGTGCTGAAACGTTATCTTTTCCGAGAATCACCAGGAGCTTGTAAAAATATAGATTTCCAAGTGCCAGCCCTGGAGATGGGGGTGCAGCAGGTCTGAAGTAAAGCTCAAGAATGCATTTTTAACAAGCATGCCAGCTAATTCTGACACAGGCCAGTGTGTGACATTGGGGCCCAAAAAAGACAACAATGAACAACAGCAAAAAACAAACAAAAACAAACCAAAACAAAACAAACAAAAACAAAACAAAAACAAAAACCCGAAACAAACAAAACTGCCAGAAATCAGATGATTTCCTTGGGGCTATGATTTGCTTCGATTGAGTCCCTAATGATCAAGACCTTGTTTTTCATTTGTGAATGGGGAGGATCAAAACTACCACTTGTCTTTCACTGATTTTAAGGACTGACAAGATAGAATTTGCAAAGAGATTTCTTGGGTAAGTCACTCCATCAACTTTGCATAAAGATTTTTTTTTAAATTATCAGTTTACAGCTGATCTTAATTAATTATTCCTAATTTACCCACAATATCAGCAACTATATATTTTCCAGCAAGGGTCACAAATATCTTGATGATTTCACAGCATTTTGTGTAATTATTTTTTATTTTACCTAAATTCTTCATTTAGCATAATTTAGTATCTTCAAAGCTTTGGATACTTTAGTCTGGAGCCTGTGGAGTTTTACCTGCTTGCATGAATGAACCATTCGAATAGCATAGGTTTTACACAGATTGATTGTAAGTTCCAGTGTACAGGCCTGTCTTATTTTATTGAACATCTAGTTAATACACAGCTGACAGTTTGGGGTGCTCTTTTTGCTGTAATGCAGGGTTTCTCAACTTTGTCACTATTGACATTTGGGGACAGGGGTTTGTCACAAGAAGCTGTCCTGTGAATTGTGGGATGTGTAGCAGCTCCCTGGCCTCTACCCACTACATGCTAGTAATGTGTAGTGTGACACACCAGACACATCTCCAGGCACTGCCAGGTGTCCCTTGGGGGACAAAACTGTCCCTGGCTCATAACCACGCTGTAGTACACGGTCAATTATTTTCCATTTTAGGGAGGGCAAACAAAGAAAAATAAAATCTGGCTGGAAGAGCGTTTCTGGTTTTGTGAGGCCCAAGGAACATGGAAAAAAATTGTAATAATAGGTTTGCACAAATAGAAGAGCAAATGATTAGTAGTGACACGGCGATAGAATATCTGGACCTTGGGGTGCTGGGGTGTCTCAGTCGCTTAAGCATCCGGCTCTTGATTTCTGCTCAGATCAGGATCTCATGATTTCTGACGTTGAGCCCCACGTTGGGCTCTGGGCTGACAGCTTGGAGCCTGCTTGGGATTCTCCCTCTCTCTCTGCCCCTTCCCTCCTTGCACGCGTGCTCTCTCTTTCCCTCTCTCAAAATAAATAAATAAACTTAAGAAAATAGGATATTTGGACCTTGGGCAAGCGACTTACTTACTGTTTGCTCATCTATAAATATGGATAAGAATAATACCTAACTCTCACAGTTAATGTAAAGATTAGGTAATTATATAGAAAGTTCTTAGAAGAGTAGCTGGAATGGAATAAATCACTTAATGCTGTCTATCAGGATGATTACCATTACCATTATTTTCTTGCTACAGTAGGATAATGTAACAGGTAATAATTCTAAATAATTTAATCAAACCGAAGACATTAGATAATAGTCACCACAGAGAGTGAATCTTTGATAGAATAGTAAAAGTGAAATAGTAAAACAGTAAATATTTTATAGAATAAATAGGAAGTGAACTGTGCTTGGTAAGTTTACAGGTGTGTCCCTGTGTGTATGTCATATAATTTAGATTTGCTGGTTCCAAAGAGCACATAAGATTGTTCACAATACATATACATAATACAAACAGAGCTATTAAAATAGATAGGAGTAAACATTTTCAGACATGTAGAAATAGAAATAAAAGTTATCCATTTCTAGTGTTTTACAGTGGTCAACCATGAATAATCTAGACGTTTTAAAAGCAAACCTCGTTTTCACTTTGGCACTCCTATGAAAGCCGATGGCGACAAATCTCACATCTGCGTTGTCAACAGGAGAGCGAATTACTGTGTTTTCTCTATAATAATCATTCTTTCCCAACTGGGTCAGATCCTGGGAGACTGAATATTCCTGAACTCAATGTCTGTAAAGCAAGGTCTCTGGCATCTTTTACGCCTGTAAAGAAAATAAGGAACAGGCTTTGTCCCAAATGAAGACGTTTACACGAAAAATAAAAACCCACCCTATAAATGACTATTAGTTGTGTTTCTTTAAGCTCTGGACCCAAAACTCAAAATGATGCAAAGAAATTTTGACCCAGAGAATTCTGCTGGAGTAGACCCTCTCCCACACCCTCCCCTCACTTCCTCCTTCCTCTTTCCTTCTCTCCCTCTCTCCCTCTCCTTCGCCCTGTTCCCCGTCCCCAACAATTATAAACAGTGGTTAGGAGAAAGGCAATCAGAGACCTTGAGAGGGTGGTGTAGAGTGCTCAGCACACAGCCACAGGTGCTGCACACACGCGTGGCCCCGGAAACCTTCACCCTATCCAGCGGCAGACTTGGCTGGGAGTCAGCGCTCTTCCGAACAGCAGGGAACTTGAGACCACTCCCCGAGGACCCAGGGCGCCCCTAGAGACTGGGGCTTGGAACCCGGTACAGAGTGGACAGAAGTAGAGACGGCGCGAGCTGCGGGTGGCGGCAGCAGCGTCCAGGATCCCCGGCCCTCCGGTCCTCTGGGCTGCGGGACGCAGTGACTCTAGGAGAAGCGCGAGCGTCCCCCCGCCCCTCCTGCATCCACGCGGGGCGCGCCGGGTTGCGGGGGGGGGAAGGGGCGGGCCCGAGCCCCCCTCCCACGCGGGCCTTGCGGGGCTGTGAGTCAAGGCCGGAGCGCGGCCGCTCTCCCCGGCAGACGGGACCCAGGCGCGGGCGGCGGCGCGCAGGACGCGGAGCGGAGACGCGCTCCCGCCGCCCCAGCTGCGCCGCGCTCCGGGCACAAGTTTGCCCCGCGCGGGCCAAGTTGCGAGCGGGGAGCCGCTCCGGGCTCCGGGGAGAGCGTCCCTGCTTCCCGCTCGGGCTGGTCGGGCCATGGCCGGGCCGGGAGCATCGCCCCACGTCTGGGGGTGGCTGCTGCTCGGCGGCTGCCTTCTCGCCGGAGCCCAGGTAAGGGCTGGGGCCCCGCGGCACCTGCTTCCCGCAGCCTCCGGACTTGGCGTTAGGGGGACGGAGACCGAGGCGCGCGCGGGCTCATGCTAACACATCCAGGCACTCACACGCGCGCGCACACGCACACACACACACACACACACACACACACACACCACACACCCCCAACAGGATTTGTCAGGCATTTAGTGGAGCTACAAAGAATTGCTTTAGGTGAGTGTCCTGGGGTGGGTACTATTCAGACCAGCGTCTCGGCATCTCCAAAATGAAGCGATGTTTACAACGGATTGTGGATCAGGAAGCGCGGCTGGGAGGTGAATGAACTTTTCTTGCCCTTACACTCCTTGGTTTTCGTTTAATTAATCCAAATTATTTTTGTCTGCTGACAATTTACCATCACTTTTGAGAACTTAAACTTCTAGGATGGATAGTAACTACTGACTCAAAGGATACTGGCTTTCCCTGACAGGGAATCACGTACCATCAATTCGAAGAGACTAGGTAGAAAACAAATACAGTGTTAAATAAGGCTCAGTTTGTTAATGTTAAGGATAAGTGATAGTTGTCATTTCGTATTGCTAATACTGTTTAGAGATTTTTCTGGGTGATCTTTGAGAATGGAACCTCTAAAATGTGCAAATTATAATTCAACCTCACATTTTTTTGAGTCAACTAAAATGTAGGGTTTACGCTCAGCTTTTCAGATGAACCGTAAGGAGATGCGTGTAGTGGTGGGTGTAATGCAGTAGAAGAGCCCTGTGAATTTAAGCTGTATCCACGTTATTTATTTCTAGCTTCTTTTCAGCAGGGGGCGCACCTTGACCGTCAAATGGAGCCCCAGGTGTTTTAGTGGGTTTTTTTTTTTTTTTTTGGTGTGAGTTTTTTTTTGTTTTACATTCTTTAACCATGAAAAAATCAAAGCATTGATGTATGTACTGATACTGTCCCAACTTACTACTATGTTTTTGGCTTTCAGATGGCCAGTTTCAATGTCAATTATCCTAACAGCACGTGACTTTTTTTTTTTTTTAACCTCATAACCACATAAAGTAAAGGGAATAGCGTCCTGCTAAATACTGGGCTTTACCTAGCATGACCAGGATGTTTAATGCAAACTAGTTATGTTAAAAAGTCAATCAGACAATGTGTGTGTTATACCCTGACTAATACTGTTAGCAATTGTAGGGTATTCTCAAACCTGAAAAATTTCACAAAGGTAATAGAAGGAATATGAGCAAATGGAAAAAAAAAAAAAAAAGACACCCTAAGCTTTGATGACAGTTATGGAACTCTGGTGATCTCTGCTGTACTTCCTGAATATCTATAAAATATGAATAATATGCTTAAAAAAACATTGCTGCTTTGTATAAGCAACAGATGAACTCTAACCATTTGTTTTATTCAGTGTTCTAGATTCCTTTTTTCTAAAGGAGTGGGGAGATATTGATTAGCACAACCAAAAAAAATATCACAATGGGATTGTGGGCAGAATTTTTCCTTTCCTTTTTAGCTTTCAATAAAACAATCAGGATATTTAGGTGCTTTTTCTATAATTTTAAACTATTTATATCTTGGGCCATATAATTCCTTGTGTGGGAACTGTCTTGTACATTGTGGGGTATCTAGCAGCACCCCTATTCTCTCCACTAGATACTGGTAGCAGCCCCCGACCCTGCTTAGTTGTGACAACCAAAAATATCTCTAGGTGTTGCCAAATGTCCCTTAGGAGGCAAAATCAGTCCTGGTTAAGACACATTGCTTTAAATTGACTTCAATTTATGTTTATAAATTACAAATTGTATGAGATGACAGTTTGTGATAACGTATTACGTTTTTTCCCCTTTAAACAAAATCTGAAAGTTAAACAAAATCAGAAAGTGAAAATAAAGTGATTTACATGGGCACGCTGACACCTTCTCTGATAATTCAGTTTCTTCATCTTCATTCTGAGCTAATATGTATATTATTGGATTTAGAAAGTATATGGATAGAACAATGAAGGGAATGCATCAAAGGAGAATAGCTTGTGTAGAATATATGTTTAATATTCAATAAGCATCGGATCACATCACAAAATAGATATTATAGACTAGTATCTGTCAGTTGTTTTTAAAGATCTCTGTGGTTTTGTGTTGGTGAGGTTTGCTGCCTTTGCCTCAATGCTCAGTTCAAAACCCATGCCTTCAGGGGTCAGGTGTCATTGCTGTGCCCAGTAATGCCTTTCCTAAAGGCAGGTTATCACGCGACAATGGGGAGCACTGTGTAAATATGTGTAGTATTTTGTTTGCTGTGTCAGTGGGTCCTTCTGGACAGACTCTGAGATGGAATTACTGTTACAATTAGATTTATGTGTGTGTGTGTGTGTGTGTGTGTGTGTGTGGCGGGGGTGGGGTGGGGTGGGGGGGAGACATGCCTCTGAAAGAGAAAGGAGTGAGAAAGTAGGATTGGACAGGGAGAGCTTCAGACCAGGGTGCAAATCTGCCAGAGTCTCGGCCAACCTCCTGCAACCCTCAGGGGTAAAGGTCGCCCACCAGGGGAGTCTCAGGCGGTGATAAAGTGGCCAGGTCCTGGTACTCCCATTGTTGCTTACTTACCAGCTCAGGGTTGTGTGTGTAGCTGTCCACTTGGCTCCAGACCTGAGGCAGACGTGTGAAAGCACTGCAGCTGGAGACTGTCAGGCAGCCATACTCCTCACGGACAAATGGTTGATTCTTTCTTGAACGACCATCTCGGTGTCTGCTTTCTTACACAATTATCAAAGGACAACATTGGTTTTGCTGGGCTCGAGAGTGGCCTGACTCCATGTGATTCAGTCACCTTCTCTAGGCTGCCCGGCTGCAGACCAGTGTGGCTCTGATAGTGTATGGGCAGGGGAGTGAATACAAATCCGTCACCACAACTGGAGAAAATACCCAGAAGATGATGACTTGAATGGAAGTATATACATTCTATAGAGTACTAGGTTTCAGCAGATACCAGTGGGCAGGTTTTACTTTTCACTAATCATTCAGGGACATTCTGGTGTGGGGGAAGGAGCAGTAGCCTGGGAACCTGAAAGCCACGTTCAAATTCCTCCTCTGAGAACATGCAACGTCTTTGGGCATGAAACTTGATCTCTCTACTCTTACTTGGTTCACTGAGAGGGATAAGCTATACTGACCTTCCAATGTGAAGATTCAGAGTCTACTGGGGAATCAGAAATCTCTTAATCAGGGGGGAGGGGATTTTAATCAGTGATAATATTTATTTATTTTTAAATTTTTAAAATGTTTTTTATTTATTTCTAGGAGAGAGAGAGAGAGAGACAGTGTGAGCAGGGGAGGGTCAGAGAGAGAGGGAGTCACAGACTCTGAAACAGGCTCCAGGCTCTGAGCTGGCAGTCAGCACAGAACCCGACGCGGTGCTCGAACCCACGAACTGCGAGATCATGACCTAAGCGAAAGTCGGACGCTCAACTGACTAAGCCACTCAGGCGCCCCAGTCAGTGATAATATTTATTTACCTACCAAGTACCAAATACCGTGTTAAAGATCCAGTGATTGGCTGGTTCTCCTTCTGTCCTGTTGACAGCCAGCCCGGTTTCATTGTCATCTAGTCATAGGGGAAGCCCTGTAGCCCTGCGGTGGTGGACTTCTCTGTGGCTGCACTAACTGTGGGTAGAATTTTCAGCCCTGGCAGCCTAGAAGCTACAAGATGGAATGGAGTTAGATATGGCCTTTTCCTGCCAACGCACAGAGGGGTTTCATGTCTTTAGCCCTTCCTCAATTCTTTGTGAATAAAAATAAAATTTTTATTTTTATTTTATTTTCCTGCCTTGAACTTCATTTGGTTTTGTCATGTACTAGAATCCATGTTCTTTCTTTCATCTGTGGTTTTTGCCTTCTCCTTGAGTTACTCTTTAAATCTTTTAACAGCAATGTGACTTCAGGCAGCCTTTTTGAGTCTTCATTTCTTCCGTTCTAAAGTGATGAGCAATATGGTGTTTATCTCATGGGATGTGAAAATATTGAATAGAAAAGTATGGAAGCAGAGGATCCTGGGTGGCTCAGTCAGTTAATTAATGAACTCTTGATTTCTGCTAAGGTCAGGATCTCACAGTGTGAGACTGAGCCCCATGCCTCAGAGCCTCCTTGGGATTCTCTTTCTCCCTCTGTCTTTCTGCCACTCACTTGCACATGCTGGCACATGCTCGCTTGCTCTCTCTCTGTCTGTCTCAAAAAAATAAACATTTTTTTAAAAAAGAAAAAGCCTTAAGGTGTCTAATAATAAGAATGCCAGATCTTTTCTATAAGTAGATTGGTAAAAGGCTTTTTATTGGATGCTTATTAGATTGATATTCTTTTTTTCCTTCTTTTTGTTTATTTATTTATTTTTGAAGGGGAGAGAGAGAGAGAGAAAGAGAGAGAGAGAGAACAAGAGCAATAGCTGGAGAGAGGCAGAGAGAGAATTCCAAGCAGGCTCCACCCTGTCAGTGAGGAGCCAGACATGGGGCTCAATCTCACGAATTGCAAGATCATGACTTGAGCTAAAATCAAGTTGAATGCTTAACTGACTGCACCATCCAGGTGCCCAAGCTTGAGATTATTTCTAAACATGATTGGGAGCCACTGAGGCTTTTAAATATGTGTGTGTGTGCGCGTGTATGTGACTTTTTCAAGGTTATTCTCTGCCTCCAACACTGTTTATTCTATTCTTTATGGTTTCTCCTTCAGAATCCAATTCTCACAGCAATTGGACATTTTATTCATCGTATTTATTAATTTATTAACAAATTATCTTCTGAGTACTTATTAATCTGAGTACTTGATTAATATCTGTCTTCCCCTGTGAAGAAATCATTCTGGAGACAGAGCAACTAATCAGAAGAAAGTTACAGCCATTCTAATAACACTGGTGTGTCTTTGTAGAATTGGAGACGCAAGAAGGCGGAGGGACTCAAGAGATAGTTAGAAGGTACGTTCAGGTGAAGGAAGAGTGGATTGGGACAGACGTGATGG